CAAACAAACAGATCTCTAAGAAAAAAAACTGAAAGTTTCATTTCCGGGTTTTGCACGTGAAGGTGCATTCAGGTACACCTCGTAAATACAAACTTCCAAAACGGCTGAAGGAGTTTACTGTATTTAAAAGGCGCATTTATCTGCTTTCCTGTACATCCAACAAGTTCTTCTTTCAGATGCTTCCATTAAATTATGGATCATAAACCAGGTTTCGGTTTTTTTTTTTTTTTTTGCGGGGTGGTGTTGATTTTTTAAAAATAAAATTTAAAATCGGACATGGTAAACTCAGAATGTCATATCTGCAGGTGCAACTAAAAAAATGATTATGTTAAATAAGTTCATTTTTTTGTCAATTATTTCAGAAAAGTGAAACTCATTTTTTATATAGATTCATTACACAAAGAGTGAAATATTTCAATCCTTTAATTCTTGTAATGTTGATGATTATGGCTGACAATGAAAAAACAAAATTCAGCCTCAAGTAGAATACAGTGTAGGTTCAGTATTGCATTATTAAACTGCTGGTGTCACACCCTGATCAGCTGATTAACTCCTCTGAGCTACAAATGTCTCATTCCTCAAGTCAAACCACGCCTGGACCAGAGACATCACAAGTGTCTTACTGGAGACAAAGAACTGGACTGTTGCTCAGTGGTCCAATGCCCTCTTTTCAGATTAAAGTAAATTTTCATGTCGTTTGTTAATCAAGGTCTCAGAGGAGGAAGAGTGGAGAGACCCAGAATCCATCTTGAAGTCCAGAGCGATGGTTTGAGTCCGGTCCACTGGGTTTTCTGAAGTCCACAGTCAACGTAGCATCTAAGACACTTTAGAGCTCCTCATACTTCTGCTGACGAGCGTTATGAAGACGCTGATTTCATTTTGCAGCAGGACTCGGCATACATACACAAAATGATTTATCTCTTTATAAACATTTATTCCTAAAGTTTCCATATAATATTCAAGCATGTGGTTCATGTACGAAATTGTGTACACAGGGTCCCAGTTACATCCAACAAAAGTATAACATGCAAAAGAAAAAAGTAAGATCTAAAATATGAACTAAGAAAAATAAAGTCCATGCTCAATAATCCAGGTATACAATCCAACATTTTTCAGTCAGGTCATCTGGACAGTTTCTTTTTTTTGTGCTGAAACGTTTTGTCTTCGATCCAGAAGGCTTCATCAGTCAAGGAAACACCCAACAAAACCGATTCTTCCTCCAACAGCTTACTCCAAAGTGGAACAAACCAGTTCTGCTTGTGATAAGATGGTCTCTTTGGTACGCCCCCTCCTCCATTGCCGGCCCTCTTCCTTCTTGTCAAACTGGTTGAAAACAACAAAGTCTATGCTCAATAATCCAGGAACTAAGTCAAGTCAAGTCAGATTTATTTATAGAGCACATACTAAGAAAAATGTTAACTGAAAACACGCTAAGCACTAGCAGTACAAAAACAATATGCCGAACAGCAGCACGAACATGAGTCTGCGTGAGCAGATGAGCATGAATGAACACAACAACATGAAACAGATCAGCAGCAGCATGAAACAGATCAGCAGCAACATGATGTGATTTTTCACAGTGATTATCCTGCTTAGAGATTCATAAGTCTAACAGCCTCAGGGTAGAAGCTGTTCCTCAGTCTAGTGGTTCTACTCAATGCTCCTCAACCTCCTTCCTGAGGGGAGCGGGGCAAAAAGTGTGTGCTGGGTGAGTGTGGTCCTTCATGATGCAGGTGGCCCTCTTCCTGCATCTGGAGGTGTAGATGTCTGTGATGGTGGGGAGACTGACTCCAACATCTTCTGTGCAGCCTTCACCACTCTCTGCAAAGCTTTTCTTTCTGCAGCTGTGCAGCCTCCACGCCACACGTTGATGCTGGAGCACAGGATGCTCCACTGCACACCTGTAGAAGGAGGTGAGGACTGAGCTTCCCAGACCAGCTCGTCTCAGCCGCCCGAGGAAGAAGAGTCTCTGATGAGCTTTCTTGATCAGGCTGGTGGTGGTGTTGCTCCAGCTGAGGTTGTCATTCAGGTGCACACCCAAGTACTTGTAGCTGGAGACCACTGTTCAGGGGAGGGTAGGTGTGTTTGTTCCATTTGAAGTCCACGACAATCTCCTTCGTCTTCTTCACATTGATGTGAAGGTTCTTCCTGCACCAGCTCTCCAGGTGTTCCACCTCCTGCCTGTAGCTGGACTCATCGTTGTTTGTGATGTATCCAACCACCGCTGTATCTGTACATGTCAGCATGTGAGACAACAAAATTCAGCAACAACATATCTGGCATTTACTTATTCAACATGTGCTTTGGATTTTAAGAATTTTTATCATGTTTACAGCTGTTAGTATAAAACCAAACAGATTTAAAGAGTATTTCATCTGAGAAAACAGACATTTTTATCCACCGGGGCCGTCGCGACGCAACACAAAACATTCCAATAAAACCAATAACCTCAGTTCAGCACATCTTATTTACAACTGATTAAAATAAGAAAAGCATAAAGTAAATCCTCAGGATCTTAAATCCCAAACTACAAGAGTTCAGGGACGTTAAAGTACAAGAAGTTCAGAAGCTGTTTCTAAAACTCCTTTAAACCAGTAGTTACCATTATGAAGTGTATTTTAATAACTGGTAATGCCGTTTAAAAAAAAAATCAAACTATTAAAATGTGCATTAATCAAAGAAAACGACTTTGTATGTAACTGTAAAGTAAAAACTCTTTAATAAAACACTTGATAAATAAAAATGTGAGCAGGTCCAAAAGAACCGGGCTGCCCTCTGGTGGAACAGCAGCAGACCAGCTGGTTCTAAAGAAATTATTTTCTGTAAAAACATCCCTTCTTTAAACATGTGTAAATATCATGAAGAGTTTATCTGAACCCAAGTTTTTATCTTCAACCAACAGACAAACAGTGACATGATCCAGAAAAGGGGCGGGGCCACTGACACAGTTAAAAGCTTTATTTAAGTACAACGAGGCACTCGTGGCTCTCCAGCATCTGTTAAAACATATTTACACATTGATACACACTTAAAATAAACTAATTTGTTATTTAAATACTGTTGTGTGAAGCTAAAGTTGATTGAAAATCTATACATTTTAGTTTAACGAGTTAGTGTTTAACATAGTGGCATTAGAAAACTTTATGAAATGAATAAAATTTTCTTAATATAAGAAACGCAAACAAACGTAGACGAGGACAAAAATCACACGATGAACATAAAGTTCCTGTGCAGCAGAACGTTAAGTCATAGAGTCATTTTGAGCACAACAATACAATTAAATATAATATAAAAGGATGTTATTTACTGCAAACTGCTTATAAAACATACAAAATATTCTGTATTTCTAAATTAATCATTAGGTTATATAAAAACATTTAGTATCTTTATCATTTGAACCTCATAAAAAGGTGCAAAAATATACCAAATAAAAAATTCAATAGACTAAGACTCCCTTTGACGCATCACATTAATCTCTAATCTGCCGTAAAGGAATAAGTGGGTTAGTTTTAGGTACATTTCCATAAATTGTTGATTGTAGAGACGGGGTTTAGTTTTGGACTCGAGTTCTTCCACCGGACCAGTGAAACCAACCTCACCTAGAATTATTCCAGCAAGTCGTTTTGGACGCTGCTGGCAGGATTAACTTCCAGTTTGTTTTTTAACCCTCCATGAAAACGGACTCAGATTATTTACCATCCACTGCAACCTTTTCTTTCAACCTGGATTTTAAAAATCAACCCGTGCCTCCATCTTCGACCGCTTATCCAAAGTCGAGTTGTAGAGGCGAGAAACCCAGACCTCCTCCTCCCCAGGGACACTCCAGCTCCTCCGACCAGAGAGGATATATAATCCCTCCAAAGAATCGTCTCTTCCCATCAGATGAACCACCTCAACGGACTGCTTTTGATGCAGAGGAGCACGGGCTCACCTGGAGGAGGGAGCTCCATCCTACCATCACTCAGAACGAGATGCCCAGATCTGAGACAGAGACTCCCCGACCCGGCCAGTCCTGAATCACAGATCAGTTTTAAATCTCGAAGGAAGCTGGTGTGGTTTTACATTAATAACAAATTTAAAAGCAAAACAGCTTGAAATCCTTAAAAGGAGGTAACTACCGTATCCGTCAGCACTAAGCGTTCTACGACTCACTTTCAGGAACACTCGGCCTCAGACTCGCACTTCAGCAGATCCAGTTTCCGCCGACCCTTCTACAAAAATCCCATAATGACCGTACGTCCGCACAGAACACACAGCGACTTCTGTGGCTCGTTCAGATTATTTACATGTAAAAACTCTCCTCACATAGTGACCACAGTGGGACAGTTTTGGCTCCGAGCTGAAATATTCGACTGGAAACAGCCGACTTGCAGCTTCTGTAAAGTGCACACGATCTCTGCTTGTTGCGCGTTCACTGAAAAGAAGAGGGTGATTTCTTCATCGCTGCCATCCTAAAGGCTCTTGAAGAACTGAAGGGAAAGTTCGTAGGTCAGGAACATGGTGGAGCTCATGGGGAAGCCTCGGATGGCGTTCACCGACACTCCCCGGAAAAAAACCTGCAGACAAAACAAAACGAAGGTTTGCGTTAATATTTAATCACCATTTGACAGGTGTGCAACATTTAGAGCTTGAACAGGAAAAAACTAAGTGCTTTTAAATTACTGGGTCCTAATAAGACAGGAAATGATGGTTTAAATAATTCAGCATCATTATTTTATTAAAAATAAACTTTAATGTCAAAGATTTGACCAATTGCAACACATTTAGATCTCTTCAAAAATTGCAAAAACGTTAATAATTTTGAAATCTTTCTAAAAAATACTTCTGCTAGTGCTAGTTCTACTGCGAGTACTTTACTGAAAACATCAAAACATAAGTATTTCGTCTCCTTTCACTGCTAAAAAACCCTTATTTATCACAACCCCCCCATAACGCAGAGCGTGCAGTACAGTTGCATTCAGGCCTAAAAAATCTGACCCGACCAATTAACTGTAATTAGAGGTCCGAACCTGAAAACCGCCCGACATTTTTAAAAATTAAAGCTTTTATTACTTTTGTAAGCAAATCAGTTTGACGTGATATTTTAAAAACGTATTTCAAAGAAAGGAATAGATAAGATTTCTTGTTTTTAACAAGTCACCAAATGGATATTAACTAAAAGAATAGCCTAAAAAAAGATAGGTTGATGAACAAAATTATTTTTAGAACAAAATTATTTGGAAAAATATAAACAAGGCGATTCTTAATTGAACGTGCTGCTCGCTTCGGCTTTTGTAGCTTCAGATGCTGCAACTTCCTTCAGTGCAGATGACAGCAGGATGCGGAGTGCGACGCGCGCGGCCGATGATCCGGTGATCCATCTGAAGCTTAAGACTTATTGTACCCCTTTCAACCGGCTGGTCAGAGCTGAGCGTGCACGTGACCTGACACACATCAGCAGGTTTCACTGTGCTGGCTTTGTAGAGCGAGTTCTCCCGTTTTTAGCTTTTGTTTAATACTTTCCAACGCAAACCCTCAGATGTGTGATAAAAGCAGGATGGGCAAGGCCACATGTGCAATTGTTGCGCAATGCACCAACGCCACTCTCTCTTTTCACAGTCGAACTTCTAAACCATTTTATTTCTTTCTCATCCTCTCAACATATAAACTTACCGCCTCCTCCTGAACAAGTAGATTAACACAACTGCGTATTGTGCATTCTCATTTAGCTTCCTTTGCGCTGTATGATTCGTAAAACCGTATCAAAAGCCCGAGCCCGACCCGGTCTGCCCATCAAGCACATCATTTTGGCCCAACCCGGCCCAAATGTCAGGTCGGGCACGGACTCAGGTTAGAAATCACATTCTAGCGTGCAGCCAAGCTTCCTCGTACTTCAGCTAAATTTTAGCTCCTAATACTCCCCTTGAAACTGAAACGCGTCTTTTAAATTCGTCTCATCTCCTAAATAAATCACCGTAGAAACATAAAAACACACGTGCACACATCAGAGCCTTCCGACGCTCCACGTTCAACAGGACGTAACGTTTTTCCACACAGCGACGCGACCGTTTGAGGCTTTTTGCTGTACATTAGCTTGGCCGTCAGGGAGTGACAGACACAGGCGTGTGGTTACCATGGTGACTCGAGCCAACAACAGCTTTAATATATTTTTTTTATCTCGGTTCCTGCGACTCTTCTTGTACAGTTTAATCAAAACGTTCTGTTTAGGCAGTAGCTGCATCAGAATATTTGTGTTTGTTTTACTGTGAATTATTAATGTTTTTCTTTACGTTTGAATCATTTCATGCCAAATCTTTAAGGAAACAACGTCACAGATAAGAGACTTGTGTGTAAAAGTTTAGGTGACACCGTGCTGACTGCTCAACTCTGCAGGACAGCGTCCGGTTGTAACCCCACTTATTGATTAAAGGGGGAGAGACAAAGTTGCAGAAACTGTTCAGTCCATTTTCTCAGGACACTCATGATCTCCTGGTACCGATCACACGAGGGTTGTTTTTAAAACGGATCCGATTACGACCGTCCACGAGGGACACCTCCAACAGTTCGAACATCTGGACGCAGAATCTGGCAGCGGATCAAGAACTTAAGGTCAAGAAGACAGTTGTGTAGAAATCAGTCACCTGACGTGAGAACGAGTAGTGAAAAAATAAATAAATTGCACGTTGTAGAAATATAATTTTTACTTGAATTTATTGTGGGAACACTGAGTCGAGCATTCACACTGATGTTTTTCACACTTGGTGCTATTTTAGCTTATATCAAAACGTTCGGCTCATTCAGGAGATGGACGCAGCGACTATTAGTTTTTGTAACTTTCATACTTTTCAAAAATAATTAACTTTTACTTACAAAAAACTTTCACTATTTAAAAAAAAACCCCACAGGAAGCCATTTCAAAAACATTTTTGAAATATACTTCTGCATACTACTTCCTAACTGCTCCTAAAACTACCGCTAATGCAAAAATGGACACAGCAAATGCTAATTTTATTATTGCTATTCCTAGTTCTACTTTAAATACGATCGAGTCTTTCAAATGTTGATTGTAGCGAATCGACATAATTAAAACCCGTAACGTGCACGTTGAATCTGCTGTAGTTTCTGCGCTAGGCAGGGTTGCCAGATATTAAATGACAAAAAATCGTTTTGTCGCTTTTAAATGTATTTTGACCCAAACTATCATATGTGTTGAGTAGGGATGCTCCGGTCAGGTTTGTTGCTGCAGATCACCGATATGATCACATGGCGTTTTGCTATACTTTTAATTTCCAGCCAACATGTTTCAGATTTTAGCTTATGTTTAGTTAGTCCAATCAATAATTTTACTAAGTATTTTGATACGTTAGCTTTCAGCGTCCATTCTGCTCCTTTTAGCTTCCGTTCTCTTGGCTGTAACTATTAACAGGTCATTCGGCGCTCAGCGCTCTGCACTGTAAAAGACGTCTACAAATTGTTATTTTTCTCATTAGTTCATTTTTCTTCTGTGCAGAAAATCACTGGAATCAATTTAACAACAGGAACGCCTTTATGAAGAATTTAATATTGCTTTTCAAATAGGTTATTTACGAGTTTGTAAACGTTTATAATCATTTAGAAAACTAAACAAGATTAAAGCCTTTATAAGAGATAATTTTTAGGATGTGGTGCCAAATCATTTCATGTGTATTTTGAATTTATGTTAACTGAAGAATCAAATGATTTTAGGGAAATTAAGCAATAGCTCGCCTCTCATCAGTATTTCACAAGTTCCTCTGTTTTGACTTGAAACGATTAAAAACAGGAAATATAGACCAGATAGTTGATTAAAACCAGAGCAGCAGTTCAGACTCTTTACATGTAAACAAACCAATAACTTATACTATATAAAATAAATGCAGATTGTCAGCATTAATACAAACATCTAAACCTGGTTTTTAGTGTTTAATTTTAAATTTATTACAGTGCAATAATACCAGCATAAAGTCTAGTTTTGGAACATGAATATAAAATTCATCAATTCTGATTAATCAATTAAATGGTTAATTATGTGTATAAAAGCTTTTTAAAAGTTGTTTCATCATATTTTTATTTTAATAGAAGTAATTTAGTCTAACAATTATCTCAATGCCTACATGGTTCTGTAAAATATACATTTTAACAGTAAAGTGAATATTTTGTTGAATTATTCCTTCAGCAAGATGAGAACTGAAGTGGATTCATGGGATTATGGCAGTTCGTTCAGATTATGTTTAACCAAGAAGGTTAAATTAAACATTGATTGTAAGCTTTATGTATGAAAAGACAACGAAAACGTCTCAAATTAAGGAAAAGATCCTTTTTAGTACATTTATTTATAAAATAATGAATTCACACATTTTCAACTGAGTCAGTTGAACAGAGTTTAGCGAAAGGTAAAATTAATGACGGATTTATTTTATTTTTAAAAACTTAAATGCATTTACCATATTTTAATTCTCTATCAAATTAAATTACCGTAATTTCAGGACTATAAGCCGCTACTTTTTTCACACGGCTAATGTAGGGATTTTATTTTTTGACAGGCTAATGAGCTTCACGCATTTAACTTCGTCACATAGATCAAAAACAACATTGTATAAGTAGATTTGTCGATTTAAAAAAAGCATTTGACACAACTGACCACACCATTCTGATTAATAAATGAAAAAAATATGGTATTAGAGGACCAGCTTTGCAGTGGATATGTAGTTATTTAAAAGACAGAAAACAGTTTGTACAAATAGACGATGTAAGATCTAGCCTAAGCAGTATTTCATGTGGAGTGCCACAAGGCTCTGTACTTGGACCTAAGTTGTTTATTTTGTATGTAAATGATTTGACGGAAGTGTCCAGTATCCTTAAATGTGTTCTCTTTGCTGATGATACCACTTTCTTTTATTTGGGTAAAGACTTGGAACAGATGTTTGAGTTGATGAAGATGGAGATTGTCAAAATACAAAATTGGTTTAAATTAAACAAGTTATCATTGAACCTTGATAAAACTAATTATATGATATTTAGTAAAAAAAAAAAGATAACTGTCGATGTTCCTTTTAGCGTTGATGGTGTTGAGATATGCAGAGTTGGTGAGGTGAAGTTTTTGGGTGCAATTATTGATGATAAACTGTCATGGAAACAGCACATAAATTCTGTAAAAACTAAAATATCTAAATCCACCGCAGTACTGTATAAAGTAAGGGACTTATTGAATGATAAAGCCTTGTATTTGCTGTATAATACAATTATAGTCCCGCATTTAATTTATTGTGTTGAAGTTTGGGGAACAGCATGTAAAACTATAACGATGCCCATTTTTATTTTGCAGAAAAGAGCTATAAGAATTATCACAAGAAAGCATTATTGTCATCCATCTAGTATTTTATTTTATCAATTGAAATTACTGAAGTTTCATGATTTGGTTAACTATAATATTCTTTTAGTACTGTATAAAGCTCAGAACTACACACTACCTTCAAACATTCAAATGTATTTTGTAAAAAGGAAAAGTTGCAATAATCTTAAGGGAACAGACATTTTTGTTAAACCACAGTACAGAACCAGTTTAAAGGGGCGGTCTACTTCAATTCAGGGAATAGGTCTGTGGAATAGTTTGGAAAACGATGTAAAAAAAAGTAAGGTCATTGCCTATATTTAAGAAAACGATTAAGATTAAAATTTTGGAAAGATACATATAAATACGTAAAATTGTGATGAGTTATTTATTTTGTTATATTACTTATAGATGATTGTTGTTTGAATTGATTTTGTTTTAAACAAGGGGCAGATATGATAAGATTATTTCTTCTTCTGCTACCTTTCATTTTATGACGTGTTTTTTTTTTTCCATTTGGTTTCTAAATTGTTTTTGTGTTTTAAATATGAAATGAATAAAAATGACAAACAAACAAACAAACATAGCTGCCTAATACACGACTCTCTTGGGGGGGGTGAGCCTCGTGACTCAACGAGACTACCTTTATAAATAAAAGGTAAAAAGTAATAAGTGCTGCCTATATACGTACAATTTTTTGTTTATTTTTAAATTTAGTGGGCACAGCTTACATTCAGGTGTGCTCAATAGACTGGAAATTACGGTAAATTGATGAAGTTCTACAATAAAACAAAATACCACCTTGTTTATGTTTATTCATTAGTAAAATTTCTTGTGTTTTGAGTTGCTAGATTTGTGTGACGAAATTGAAAAGGTTGGTTTTCTTTCTGCTGCAAATGTCTGAGCTCACCTGCGCTCCCTCCGTTTTGTAGCTGTGGAGGACGCAGTGTAAAATTCCCTTGTACTTCCTCTGAAGCTGAGCGTCGGCCTGCATTCGACTCTTCACCACATCCGCCGGCGTGGCCGTGACCCAGGAAATAGACCCTGAGGAAGAGGAGGAGAGAAGGCATGTCACAAGGAAAGAAACAAGTTCTGGATCAAACCCAGAGTACGTCATGCTTCGTTCAGGACGTAAGAGACATATCAGTGTCCGTCCGTGTCTTAGACCAAGTTTCTGGGCAGCAGTCGGAGCAAAAATGCTCCAATTCCCAGTTTCCTCTTCAATTCAAAGAGAAATCCCTGAACCAGCCTGGAGAGAAAACGTCTTCCTCCTGGGGTCTAGAGTCTACCCTGAGGTTTCTTTGTGACAGGACATAAAACATCTCTCTCAAAGGACATCGAAAAAAAAAAAAAAAAAAGTTTAATGTGATGCCATTTGTTCTATTCATTTGCTGCACATCTGGAGAAACTCATTCTCGTGCAAGAAACCAGTTTTTGGGAAAGCCATGTAATTTGACAGACCATGTAAAAAAACGTTTACTTTTTTTCCGTGCAGACACTCTTAACTCGGAACTTAACCAGTTTCTGTACAGATAGTTTAGCTGACGTTTCTTGTTCTGCAAGATTGTGTTGCAAGATCGCCACACCTAGCTCCCTGCACTGTACAGCTAAAATAAACCAAGTGAACAGCATTCATAGACTGCTGGTCATTTCACTGAGATTTATTGACAACAGTACATATTCTCAACAGCACACAAACATTCTTACCGTATTTTCTGGCCTATAAGTCACAGTTTTTTTTTTTGCATAATTTACAGGCTCTGCAACTTATACACCAAAACAACTAATTTATGGATTTTTTCCCATATTAAAACCAATTTTTGGCTGAGTTATGACCATTTTCATGCATTCCGACCTGGAAAATATTGAACACTACCATTTCCAGCCACTAGATGGCACTAGAGTAGTATGGCATGCCGTTGTGTCATGTAATAGGTAAAAGTGGCTATTAATGACCCAATCGGCTTGCCACAGCCTGCCACCTAAGTCCAGCTCCGGGTTCATGCCTCACGCAACCGTCAAATCAGCTTCATTTCGCTGCACCGCCCTGGTGAAATGCAGCTGATTTGACCATCAAAGTGCATTTATTAAGGAAAAGTTAAACAGAGACACACCTTTACTATAATTTCGAGCAAACAAATAATGTGTTAATCTTGTTAAATTCTTGTTGAAGTCCTCCCGTGCACGTAATCGATTTCTGGCACACCGGCCCACATTTCCAGGCGGCCAGCGGTGACGCGTAATAGACGCGACTTACACGGCGAAGCGACGTATTTATGTATTCTTCCACTTTATTGAGACATATTTGGACTGACGCGACTTACAAGGTGGTGCGACGTGTACGGCGGAAAATACAGCACTTAGCATCCAAAGCCCGTCCACCCAGGATTGGCCGCTTGTTTCAGATAATTTATTGGTTGCGAGTGCTGCTCAGTTTGTATTCCCATCAGATAGTTGTGTGAAGTTATTTCAAGTTATTTTCTCCTCCAAACATTTGTACTCATTGGCATTTAACACAGTGTGATCTCATTTGGCATTTCATCGTTGATGATCGTGTTCATCCATTTTGCTTTTACTCCCTGACATTTAACGCAGGGTGATTTGATTTAGTATTTCATTGTTTCCAATTATATTTCAAGTTTTTTATGCTTTTATTCCTGATGCTGTAATATCTTGTTATTGATATTTGATGCTGTGATCTTTTTTTGTTAAGCACGTTGACAACAGTTATGGTTTTAAATGTGCTATATAAATAAATAAATGTGACTCAACTTATTTCACGTTATTTCTACAACACATGGATTAACTAAGTGAGAAGGCACCAGAAGAAACTACTAATAATGAACCAAGTTTATCTCAAATCAGAACTCAGATTATTAGGAACTCCACTGAGAGCGGTTACATTGGGTTAAAATGAGAATAAGGATGGATCTGATTAGATAGTGACCATTAGAAGTAAAAGAACAACCATAAATTGTGTCTAAAATCATTGAAGTAAAGATTTGTTTTTAAATGCAACATTTTACATACATTCCTCCCCATCTTCAACTGCAGGGATTTCTTTAGGGCGTTCTTGGTTTAGTTTTCCAGCAGGATGGCGGAAAGCCAACCATCTGGATTTTCAGCTGACTTGACTCCATCCTCCACGTTCTGACTCTGCCACGTGTTCACAGCTGGCCGACCAGCATCTGGAAGCAAACCTGCTTTAACCTCCGTGTGTTTGTCTATAACTGCACGTACAGTTGCCTCACTCTCACCGTGTGATTGGCTGAACACTCGCACACCCCTTCTTGCTGTCCAGATATGAGGTTTTCCTTTGCTGCCCTTCGTGTTTGTGTTTTTTTTATCTTTCCACGTGTTGATTTTTTAGAATGACGCTGCCTTGAAGTGAGGACAATGAACTTGTAAAGCATCAAGTGGAACAAAATCACCTTCATACAGAAAATGTCACGAGTGTTTGCGAGAAACAAAAAGTCTCTAATCTTTTTGATTTAACACCCATGTGAGGAGTTAATTTCACAATAGAGGACGACGATGATTAATCACATTAATTTCTGGATGCAACTATGAAAACACAATTTACAGCCATGTAAACTAAATAAATGTGAACAACCTGATTTAAAAAGCTTAATTTCACTGGAATGTTTTATCCACTATGGAGTATGCGGTTTGTGGGAATCAGTTTTGTTTGGTGGCTTCTCAGATTGAGGAAGTCCTTTGGATGAAGGATGAAACGTCTCAGCACAAAAAAAAAAGAAACCGTCCACATGACCTGACTGAACATTGATGGGATTTTATACCTGGATTATTGAGCAAGAACTTTGGTGTTACTGTATTTTTCGGCCGATAAGTTGCAGTTTTTTGCATAATTTGCATGCCCTGTGACTTATACAGGTCCTTCTCAAAAAAATTAGCATATTGTGATAAAGGTCATTATTTTCCATAATGTAATGATAAAAATGAAACTTTCATATATTTCAGATTCATTGCACACCAACTGAAATATTTCAGGTCTTTAATTGTTTTAATACTGATGATTATGGCATACAGCTCATGAAAACCCAAAATGCCTGTCCCAAAAAATTAGCATCTCATGAAAAGGTTCTCTAAACAAGCTATTAACCTAACCATCTGAATCAACGACGTAACTCTAAACACCTGCAAAAGATTCCTGAGGCTTTTAAAAACTCCCAGCCTTGTTCATTACTCAAAACCACAATCATGGGTAAGACTGCCGACCTGACTGCTGTCCAGAAGGCCATCATTGACACCCTCAAGCAAGAGGGTAAGACACAGAAAGAAATTGCTGAACGAATGGGCTGTTCCCAGAGTGCTGTATCAAGGCACCTCAGTGGGAAGTCTGTGGGAAGGGAAAACGAGAAGAGGTGACCGGACCCTGAGGAGGATTGTGGAGAAGGGCCGATTCCAGACCTTGGGGGACCTGCGGAAGCAGTGGACTGAGTCTGGAGTAGAAACATCCAGAGCCACCGTGCACAGGCGTGTGCAGGAAATGGGCTACAGGTGCCTCATTCCCCAGGTCAAGCCACTTTTGAACAAGAGACTGCGTCAGAAGCATCTCGCCTGGGACTGCTGCTGAGTGGTCCAAAGTTATGTTCTCTGATTACAATAAATTGTGCATTTCCTTTGGAAATCAAGGTCCCAGAGTCTGGAGGAAGAGAGGAGACACAGAATCCACATTGCTTGAGGTCCAGTGTCAAGTTTCCACTGTCACTGGGGTGTCATGTCATCTGCTGGTGTTGGTCCACTGTGTTTTATCAAGCGCAGGGTCAATGCAGCTAGCTATCAGGAGATTTTGGAGCACTTCATGCTTCCATCTGCTGAAAAGCTTTATGGAGATGAAGATTTAATTTTTCAGCACGACCTGGCACCTGCTCACAGTGCCAAAACCACTGGTAAATGGTTTACTGACCATGGTATTACTGTGCTCAATTGGCCTGCCAACTCTCCTGACCTGAACCCCATAGAGAACCTGTGGGATATTGTGAAGAGAAAGTTGAGAGACGCAAGACCCAACACTCTGGATGAGCTTAAGGCCGCTATCGAAGCATCCTGGGCCTCCATAACTCCTCAGCAGTGCCACAGGCTGATTGCCTCCATGCCACGCCGCATTGAAGCAGTCATTCATGCAAAAGGATTCCCGACCAAGTATTGAGTGCATAACTGAACATGATTATTTGAAGGTTGGCGTTTTTTGTATTAAAAACACTTGTCTTTCATTGGTGGGATGAAATATGCTAATTTTTTGGGACAGGCATTTTGGGTTTTCATGAGCTGTATGCCATAATCATCAGTATTAAAACAATTAAAGAGCTGAAATATTTCAGTTGGTGTGCAATGAATCTGAAATATATGAATGTTTCATTTTTATCAATACATTATGGAAAATAATGACCTTTATCACAATATGCTAATTTTTTGAGAAGGACCTGTACACCGAAACAACTCATTTATGTTTTTCCCCAATATTTATCAAGCAGTTTTTGGGATATCTTGGAAATTATAAGCAGTATCCTTTGAAAGTCCGCCTTTTTACACACTTCATAAATGAAGTTCAACACCAAAGTATCATCCCAGTCCATTCAAGACAAAATAAAAAGACAAAACCAGCAATTACTGGATGTGTACCAGGTATTCTTGTCCCCGTTTAGATGCTTTAAAGTATTTAATTTAGTGAAGATGTGTCAATCACTTGTTCGTCCACTAAAATAGTTTTTATCAGCATTAAAAAAGTCTAAAGCCTGGTTAAGATGTTCTTGTAAAAAACATATCAATGTGTGACTCCGTGCAAACAATCTGAGATTAATAAAGCAGGAATGTGCAGTCAGAACATGCTGCGTCATCTTCAGACCAAGTGCACAAGTTGTTCTATAGATGGTAAATTGTGTTTCTGCAAGTATCAGCTCTACAAATTTAATGCTTTTTCATTAGGGGTGCACGATAAATCGGCCCAGATTCCTTTAATTTTGTGTGATCGGCCGATACTCGCATGAGAAACTGATTTTACCCATTTTTTTTTCTAGTTTTAACAACAATTGTCTGAACTTCATTTATATTTCAGAGCACAACCTCATGACCAGTTAAAACAAGTTTGTATTGTTTCTAGGATGTTGTTCAAGAGTGTATTTTTCAATAAAACACTTGACAGTGTCGCTTATTAAAAAATAAAAACAATCAGTATATGTCAAAATCGATATTGGCAGATCAGGTCTTTTAGAGATCGGTGATCAGCCAGAAAACTGCAATCGGTGCACCCCTATTTTTCATGCCATTTAAAAAGTCAGCATCATCCATTTAGTGACTCAATGCCCCACATAAACCCTGAAAAATAAAACGTGAAGTTTCTAAATTAAAACTCCCTGCATCCTGACCCGACATAAAAACCAAGTGTTGAAAATGTTTGCCAGTTGACCACGCCCATCTTTCGGACGACTGTACGTACATATTCGCGTTGTATCTCGGTGCAAGGCCAATAAAGTTTATTCTTATTCTAGTCTGCAGCTTTGAGCAGAAACAAAGAGTCAGAGCTGATGACGTGAGCGCCATCTCCCAGAAGTCGGACACCGACGGTAAAATTTACCTGCCAAACCTCCGGCGAGCCAGATGGAGCAGGGATGAGGGTTGGATGAGGTGTCAGGGGTCAAGAGGTCACAGAAGATGGCGTAAGGGATAAAGTAGAGGGTGTATCCAGGGACGTCCCTCAGGACCATGGCCCCGGCCCCTCTGTACAGTCCCTGGAGGCCCTCGGTCTGCAGGATGCTGCTGATGCAGTGGACGGGTCCTCGGTAGAGCCGCTGGCTGGGGATGTCGATGGAGCGCAGGGGAATGTTGGTGCCGCTGGAAAGGTTACCAGCAAGATGTAGGTTCTCTGGAAGCATGATCAAAATGAGCACATTTTACAACGAAACTGTGATAAAACACGATGTCAATGGTCACGTTTTACTGAACTTTACGGCAAGAAAATTAACATTTATTGGGGAGTGAAAACCAGAGAGAGCGACGTTACTAACGCTAGGCTGAAGCCACTTTTCCTGTGGCTACAATCACCGCTCCCTGTCCGGAAGTAGCAGAACTTTCAGCGGCGTGGGGATTTTAGTAAGCAGGGCGCTCGGTTCTGTTGACAGGGCGGGGCGCCCTCCTTGGATAACCGTAGGAGAAACGCTGAACTTTAAAGTAAAGTGCAACAACAAAATTAGTTCTCTGCATTTATCCCACCACATGCGAGAAACATCCAGGTGCAACAGTAGGCGGCTATGCAAGTGCCCGGGGAGCAGTTGGGGATTAGGCGTCTCTTGCACAAGGACACCATGACATGCGAGCATGGCAGGGAGTTGAACCTGTGACTTTCTGGTCCCAAGTCGGCTGTCCTACCTTTACACAACGGGTTACAGAGTGAGGTTTTTGGTAAAAATTGCATCGGTAGGGGAAAACACATCCACACAAACCAGCTGGAGAAGAGCTCAAAGTGTCGATGTCCGACGTCACGAGCGCCACAGTATGGCAGCACTGACAGAAGCGCCGCTTCAACTCGATCTTATCGTTCCCGTTGCTTTTATTTTAACTTTTTTGCACCTACGCTGCACACACACACACACTACAGGTATGACTGCAACGCACTTTTGAGAGTTTGTGTCGCTGCCTTGCCATCCTGCCATCCTGGTTCAGGCTCAGGCCCGTCATGGCAGCGTTGTCCGTGTGATCCTCCATCTGCCTACACGGACCGAACTCTACGGACCCGTTCGATTCCGCGGGGCAACCATGCATGTTCTCTGTCTGCCGGACTCGTTTCTGAAGGGCAGCTGCTGCGGTCATGATTACCTTCATGCTGCTAACGAGACCACGCCGCTAATAGGACCATGCTGCTGTAGACGCATTTCTTTTTCACTTTTGGCGCCTTGCTTTGGTATTTCTTGTCGTTTTGTTGGCGAGTCAAGCCGGTTCTTCTCATCCTGAGCATTTCATCGCATTGTTGACATCGTGTTTGTTTATTTAAGGATTCCCATTAGTTTCTACCGTAGTAGAGACTTTTCTTCCTGGGGTCCACACTTAAAACATTGCAATTAAATCAAGCTTTTACAAACATACGAAAAGACATAAGATAAAAACAAATTCACAATATAAAAAGTCAAATCAACCGTGTCAACAACATTTTACAAGCATTACAAAATGGCAATACTTTACTTTAAAACAAGAATTAAAAACACCAAAATTCACCAATTCCAACGTTAATCTTCATTTCCATTGTAAATGTATCAGTTCATCAATTCAGTTTTATGTCATTATCTATTATAGGTTTTTTAAGATTCTTTTTAAAATTAACATGATCGGCAACTGATGTAATTGTTGATCTGCATAAGACAAATAAACCAAACCTGAACCTGCTACGAACGGGTGTAAACTTGAAAAGGACGCCGTTGATCCAACGATCCTAAATATTTCAGTGGATTACAAGTTTCTTCTTTCCAAGAGGATATCTATTTATCTGAGCCTTTTCTATAAATACAACTAAGAGCTGTTCATTCAAACTAATTTAAAAACACACAAAACACAACATGTAGTTTTAGTGGGAGCATACGTTCCTCCACAGAACATTTTGTTTGGAAATAGAAACGTTACGTTCAAGTTTGTAACTTTTGGCTACAATGACATCAAGCAGCTCTTATCACACACACGGGCACGATAAGATGAGATTTATGACTCGTTGCGCTGCCGTAAAAAAGATGAAGAACCCTTTAAAAGTTACAGCGTCTTTGAGGAAGAAATGAGGTCGAGGTGTGAAAAAGGATGAAAATGAGTCATGGGCTGCTTATCTGAACATTTAACCACTTTAACTTCAATTTTATGCGTTTATTGTTCAACAACTGCAACTCCAGACACGACGATGTGAAAGCAGGTGAAGATTTGGTTTTACGCTCTGACCTACTGTATATTTAGGGCTCTATGAAATCCATTTATGGTAGACTGCTCCCCAGATTCTGTATTTTTTAACTCCACGTGTAACGTGACCCCATTTTTTTCCACCTTAAAAAGTGTCTTATCATAAAATGTCATCAAACAGAGAGATATCCACAACTTCATTAACATGTTTTACCAAAATACAGCAACACGCAAGAGCTTTAAATTATCGATCGATTAATCAGTTGTGGATGTTCATTTATTACTCACTGGTTCACGAGATATTTTGCTAACAGACACAGGCGAGAACATTAAAAACTTGATTACCTGCCAGAACCATCTGCGTCTGCATTTGCAGTCTGATCTTGACCAGATCCACCGGCGCTCCCAGGCCCACCGACACCAGTCCGGTCAGCATGCTGGCCAACGTCAGGTCCAACATGCTGCAGCGGTGCCGCTCGTCGCCATGGCGATATTTGTTTAATGCTCTTTGAATGTTGCTGAAGAAGCCAAACACAACAGAGTTGTACACCGTGATGCTGGCGAGCGGGAAAGACATGCCCTTAAAGAACCCCATGGCCTGAAGAATTTATTTAAAAAGAAGGAAAAGAACAATCAATATCTGAAATAAAACTGAAGAAATTACAACAACAACAAAAAAAAGCCACAAAAATTTTTCAGATGGAGCCAGAAATGAAAACTGTTCCATATGGGGATTGCTGCTGCTGCCTGATACTTTTTATGGAAAGTTTTCTCTTTGTGGAGAACTTAAACACAGCAGTCCACCGTCCGAGAACATTCAGGAACCGAGCTGTGGATTTTGAGAAAACTGAAGAGAAACGTGCACATCTGGAGCATCAAACAGCAAAAACAAATTAAAACGTCTCAGCAAAGCAGAAGAAACCGATCACACCCAGTAAAAGTTTTAAAACTCAAACCAGGTTTTAATTACAAACCTGCATTTTTATATTTTCTGCAACAAAATGACAAAAAAAATAAAAATAAATAAAACTTGGCTCATCTTAGAGATGAAACCAGATTTTCTGTTTCCTGAGCTAATTAAAGCCTAAAACCCAAACACAACTTATTACCGTAAAACCCCAGTATAGAAAATGTTGGTTAGTTGTGTAAAATGTAAATTAAACAGAATGCAATGGTTTGCAGATCTCAAAAATCCAAAGTTTATTCACTATGGAACAAAACAAATGAAACATTAAAAAAGTTTTTTTGAATTCTGTGGCGTAACATCTAATAAAAGCAGTTTCAGGGTAATAAAAAGCTGTAAAACTAAGCGTTTGATTTTTTAAATTAACAGCTTAAGGAGGTTTTCATAACTAATTAGTTAAATTGTCAACAGGACAGCAAGAACTGGTCCAAAGAGAGACTGAAGGTTAAATCTGTCAGAAGTAAAGATGGGCAGAGGTTCACCAGTCTGTGGAAAACTGTCTAAAAATAGTGGAACGATTTTAAAATAATGTTCTTCAACAGAAAATTGGGAAGACTTTGAATACCTTAAATGCTGCTTAAAGCTCTATCAGACAAAGAAGAAGCCATATGCGAACACCATGCAGAACCGCTGCCTCTTCCCTGGACCAAAGCTAATTTAAAACGGACTGAGGAAAAGGAGAGAACTGTTCTGGGCTCAAACGGATCCATATTTGAGACTCTGTTTGGAAACCACCATGTCCGCCATACTAAAAAGGAGCGGAACCATCCAGTCTGTTATCAGCTCGCAGGTCAAAAACGTGCCTCTTTGATGGTATAGGGGTGCATTAGTGTCTCTCGCATGGGCACCTTACACATCTGGGAAGGCTTCATCAATGCAGAAAAGTTTATACAGATTTTAGAACATCTGCTCCCATCCGACAAAACAAAAAAAAATCCAGGAAAAGAAGAACCAGGACTGTTCAGCAGCTAGAGTCCTCCATAAGACCAGAATGGGACAACATTCCCCACAAAACCTCCAACAACTGGTCTCAGGCCGTGAACATTTACAGACTGCTGTTAAAAGAAAGGAGGAAGCTTCAGAGGAAACATGGACCTGGAACTGACATAAACAAAACTACCTGAGTTTTTCCAAAATCTGTTCAACTTCTTATGACATTTGATACGTTAACCACGTTCCATTATGAATAAGTTCATGGGTTTATAAGGTTTGCAAAGCGATGCATATTGTTTTTATTTACATTTTACACAATGCCTCAAAGTATTTTTTATTTATTTAAAGGATTGTGTTTGTTGCAGCCTGGAAGTCATCTGCAGTAAATATGGAGAACGTGAGGAGAGCTGGACTTTACCGTTTCTTTCCTGTAGATGGTGAGAATGCAGTGAAGCGTGTTCTTGTAGCCTCTTCCTGCCTGGAGCCGCGTCTGACGGAAAAACAACAACAACAAACGTCAGATTAAACCTGGATTTCATCACCTAATCTTTATTAACTTTATAATCCAGAGGAAACATTCAGTTCTTTTCAGATTCCTCTTTAAATTCTAATTTTGGAACCAGAACTTTTACTAATTATTATTAATCAGTTTTTTTGGTTTTCCAGTCAACGTGAATATTGTGTCATTTTAAACTGATGGCAATTTCTTTTAATTTTTCCAAACTGACGTTGTTCAAAGAGCTGCTACAATATCAAATTATTCTGAAACTTTTCCCCCAAAGCCCACTTCAACAAGTCCGAAGCACGTTTCCTCTTGATCCAGGGTGACACGGATCACTTAAGCGTGCCATCGACAGTAGACGAGACGTATGAAGCAACACGTGCTGGATTGTTTTTTTTTATTTTTTAAATACAGCAGCCATAATCAGGACGACACAGCTGTAAAAGCTGAGTAATGGTGGAGTAAGATCGAAAATACCTTCACCGTGTCCAGCGGATGTCCTACAACCACACTGGATGCTCCTGCGGTAAAAAAAAAAAAAAAAAAAAAGTGAAATCAACAATAAATTCAGAAAGAAACAGGAAGACGACAGGAGGCTCTATATTATTTTGTCATTGAAGTGTAAACTTGCAAACACATTGGCAAGTTTGTGAGAGTTTAAAAAACCCATTTGAAGTATTTGAGCTCCGACTGTGATGAATCACTAAGGAACATTTGAGACGTGGTTCCACCAAATTCATAACGGGTTTGCATGAAGGGTTGATGTTTGACAACAAAGCATGATGATGCAATTAAACAGACCGTTGTGGCCCCATTTCCCCCCGGCTCCTGCCCTCCCCGAGCCTCACTGCCTTCACGAAGCACAACAACACACACTGGCACAGTTTATGACGCCGCAACCAGGACAATTAAAAGTTCTGCTTCACCAAAACAGCTCAGGAAAACAAAGTGCTTCATAGGGTCAGTCTGTACACAAAACTCTGTTTTTAAATCCAGCTCGGAGCACAATGGAAGATAAAACCATCTTCATCACACCATCAGTGAAATTAAACATTTTCTTTATGTCCGGAACCAGTAAAACAAGATAAACTGAATGAGAATTGTTTTCTTTGTCGGTTGCTCCCTTCTTAAAGATAATCCACTTCTTCTGTTTTTTTTTTTTTGTGTGCAAATTTAGATGCAACCTTTGTTTTTATTATAATTTTAATTTCACGGCATTTTAAAATAATCTTCAGAGTAATACGAATAGACGAAAAGACGTGGCAGCTCGGCGTCTCCTTCAGTCCAACTGCGACCCTCTGGGACATCACGCAGTTCAGGAGTGGAATGAGAGATGCTTTAAATAACTCAACCACCTACATACTTTTATCCTAAAGAAGCTTGAACGAGCAGTTTGCAAAGATAACGCAGCAGCTACTGTCAGAGGAAATATACATTTTTAAAGGTAAAATCATCAGGGCTCTTTTAAAAGCTGTGACAGTTTTTAAATAAAACAGAGTCGCCTCTTATATTTTTGTAAATTAAAAAAATAAAAAAATCCACTTATTTGTTGAATTTAGTCACTTTTATGCCTTTTTATTTGTGTTTCGCTCCAACAGCAGACGTTAAACTGTGGTTCACTCCTTGAAATTGACACGAGTGCCAATTCTAAAATGAGAATTAAAATTAAATGTAAATACTATTCTTAAAATCCGTCCACTGGGTCATGAGATATTTTGCCAGCAGTTGACTCCAGACGTTGCTTGACAAGTTGCAGCTCGGGGCGTATTTTTTGGATCACTCTCAGCTACTACCACACCAAAGTCCTGCTCAAAATCTGTAGGAGTGAGCGAGCTGTAGCCACTTTGGCCATCTTGAATCAAATTAACTCCAGAAATTAATCAGCTGTTGGTGTGGATAAACGGTTTAAAAGTCGAATTAAAACTTTGCCCTGTGTGTTATAACCCATTCTGGACAAACACCCTTAAAATGTGATAATAACAACAACTTTAAAAGCCAAAGTTGATACATTTCTGTTACTTATTCAACAAAATTTGAATTAGCAGCGCCCCTAGCGGCCACACCTGTCACTGCAATTAACATTTTTCACAATAAGAGTTCCACTTATTGTTGTTAATTCAACAGAAACAGTCGCTGAAAACATTTAATGAGGCAAAAATAAAATAAATATGAGTGGATGCATTAAGGAGTTAGTGTTAATCAGTGTGTGGTAAAAGATGAGATTGTTTACACGAGATGTGGATGCAGTAATTTTCCATCCTAAAAGGGTGGACTCGGACAGCTGGTGTCCGGGGTATTCCGCCACAAAATAAAATTAATTCATTAATGAGGAGCTATAAAGTGAAGCGCATCGCAGACTAAACTAAACGGAACAGCTTGTTGCTCACCGCCAATCCATCCCGCGATGAAATCATCCAAACGAAAATGTTTGGAGCTCTGCATCTTCTTCCACTCACCGCCTCGGCTTCAAACTTCTGCCCGCCGCCTCTCACCGGTCAGCGGGTGAAAACTCCGCCTGAACCCTCCGCCCCGCGGAGTCCGGAGAAACAAGCTAACATCGGTTTTTTATCGATAACGTTCTCTTCCGAGAAAAAAAAAAAAAAAAAAAAGTTATAACTGTTTTTTTTTTTTTTTTTAACAGCGTCTGAATTGATAAGAAGACAGCTCGCGCAGCTTGACGCCGCAACCAATCAGAACAAAGTGTGAATCAGCGGGACAGACCGTCTGACCAATCAGATGCGAGCTCGCGAAGTCGCGCAGCCAATAGGGAGGCCGTCATGGAAATGAGCCATGAGGAGCAAACGCCAAGCAAAAGAACTGAACCCGGACCTCCTGAATGAAATCAGACCCTCAGATCCTTTTACAGGAGCCAGAAACCGACCAGTCGTCCGCCTTTAGACCCGGGAAGATACAGCTAGACGGAGGTCTCTGCAGGAGTGAACACAACATGGACCTCACATGTACACGAGAAAGGACATTGAGTTCAAACTCTCACTGCAATGATAAAAGGCTCGGATGAGAATAGATTTATTTATCTAACAACTTTCTTTAACTAAGCTGGATTTAAATGGAAATGTGTGGAAAACAAACAATTAATCAGGCTTATCTTAAAGACCCCCCCCCAAAAAACCCAGACGACCTCTGTCCTTTTCCTTTTGAACTCCTGAAAACCCTGAGGCCACTTTCAACCTTAAAAGAAATTCACCATTAAACTACAAGGTAGAAAACACAGAATAGAACGGTGCAATGTACTTGCTGGTACATAAAGGTTATTTATACTCAACTATACTTACTCAAAATGTACCAGGGTGTACCAAATACTTGGTAACAAAACTCAGCTCGGTACATGCAGTGACGGCTGGTGGATTTTTCTCCAGGTAGGGCTATAACTCCAAAATAGACACACACGTAAATACAAACCTAATTAGGTACATATATACATATTAAGGTACATACCAATTACATGCTTGATAGCAAAACCTAGTATATCACTGTGCCAGGTACTTACTGGTACATTTGTGCCAATTGCATGCTTGATATTTGGTACGTACCAAATATATACTTGGTAGCATAACACAATAGAGTCGTGTCCTATGTACTTAATACATACTTGTTGCTTAACTGGTATGTATTGGGAATGTACACAATACGTCCCAGTGTGCATACCTGGTTCAAAACAACATTCCAACTATTTGCACGAGATTTTTACTATTAAATAGTGGAGACAACTCTGTCAGGTAGCAAATCCTCTAATAAACCACTGGACTGATTGAGAAAAACTTTTACAACTCAGTCAGTTTTACAGGAATTGAGGTATGGTGTGGTAGTAGCTGACAGTCATCCCCATCACATACTTCAAGCATATCATTTTTTGAGAAATCCTGTTTTTATTATTATTATTATTTTTTTTATCTTTTACACTCTTTTGTTTGCCTTTGTTTGAAAAGTGCTTGGACCACAAAGTTGAGCAGACACACTGCATGAACAAAATGTAGTTTAGTTTATTTCTACGATGCTATTTTGATCAGATATTTTAAATAGTGACGATACAAAATTAAAACTAAAACTCTGAGCTGTACTTCTTCTTACAAGCCTCAGATTTTATTTTGCACGCGGGTTGAATTTGTACACGATGGGCTGTTTGTGTCGACAAGCGTGGAGCCTCTGCAGGTTTTCTCAATGCGAACGGAGCTGGATCTTAAAAGGTTAATTTGTCATTAAACATTTAGTTGCCATAAAAATCCTTCAGGTTAATGTTTCAGAGCTATAATCACAACCACTGCCCCCAAAATGTCACAAAACTCCATCTAGTTTACCATTAAAAGTCTGCGCTCTTTGTTTTATTTGTGTTTTTATGAGTTTAAAGTTAAGCCATCCCACAGCTCTCAGAAAAACAAACCTCACAGACTTTGTAAAAGTTTTCACTCATGCTCCTTTCTTTATTATGACGCCCACCTTTAAGGCAGCAGGCAGTAATATGAACTTTGATGAACTTTGATGTTTAAAAAGTGCATATTTTAAAGATTGCTGGTGCTTTTTTCTATCTTTATATTACCAACATGAACACCAGAAACAAGAAATGCTTCAAGGAAGTTGTGCTTAAAAACACAAAACAGTTTTTTTTTCCTTTTAACTATAAAGTAAATGTTTGACTAACCTGTTCACCCCAGCTGTAAATGAGATTTCTGGCTTTTTCCTCTTCAGGGGTCACCACAGTGAGTCCTCCTCCTCCATCTCACTTTGTCCTCTGAGTCCTCTGTCCTCACTCCAACCACCTCCATGTCCTCTCTAACTGTATCATCCTCTTTGTCTTTTTCCTGGCAGCTGCATTTCTAACATCCTTCTACCAATATACCCACTGTCCCTCCTCTGGACATGTCCAAACCGTCTCAGTCTGGTCTCTCTATCTTTATCTCCTAGTTGTTCGACCTGTGCTGAACCTCTGATGATCTCATTCCTGATCTTCTCCATCCTTGTCTCTCCTAAGGAGAACCTCATCATCTTCATTTCTGCCACTTCCAGTTCTTTCTCTTGTCTTTTTGTCCATGTCTCTGTCTCCAGACCATACAACATAGCTGGTCTCACCACGGTCTTGTAAACTTTTCTTTTGAACTTGGCTGACACCCTTTTGTCACAAATCACTCTTGAAACTTTACCACACTCCCCATTTTTCCTGAACAGTGGACCCCAAGTACTTGAAGTCCTGCACCTTTGTGACCTCTGCTCCTCGTGGTCTCACTGTTCCACTTCCTCCCTCTCCTCCACAAACATGGACTCTGTCTCACTACGGCTGACTTTCATTCCTCTTCTTTCAGGTGCATACCTCCACCTCTCCAAATTTTCTTCCACTTGTTCCCTGTTCTCACCACAGATCACAATGTCATCTGCAAACATCATAGTCCACGAGGATTCCTGCCTGACCTCATCTGTTAGTCGGTCCATCACCAGAGCAAACAAGAAGGTGCTCAGAGCAGATCCTTGATGCACTCCCACCTCCACCTTGAAGCTATCTGTCACTCCTACAGCACATCCACTGTCCTGCTGTCCTCATACATGTCCTGTACCAGTCTAACATACTTCTCTGCCACTCCAGATTTCCTCATGCAATACCACACCTCCTCCCTGGCCATCCTGTCATACTATATGTTTTTTTTCTAAATCCACAAAGATGTATATCTAAAGCTCATTAAAAAAGAGTTGACGTGTAAAACAATCATAAATCGTGCATCTGAAGGTTGAATATTTGCTATGCTGGTCTTTTAATAAAAATAAATCAATTAAAAGAAAAGTAAGTACATCAGGAGTCAGGTGGTGTTGAAGCATTAAAACTATGGAAAGACTGAAACATCTGCAGTAAAACTTTCTGTGAGCAGCTTAAAATACATGAACAACATAACTGAACAAAACCAGAAATCTTGTTTTAGGTTTAAAGACAAACGGCTACTGTCTAGTAAAATAAACAAAATAAATAAAGGGGGCATTTGGCGGTGTAAAACTTGCTGTTGGGTATTAAATGAATTGTTTAATGTATTGATAATCGTTCTCTTTATTTGCTGCATACCTGAAGAAACTCGTTCTGGTGCATAAAACCTGTCTGACCACCCTGGACCATACATGTGTTTATTTCATACATTTTACTTTTTGTGGCAAACACCCTGGCTCTGAGTCCAGAAGTAACAAACAGTTTCTGCACATATGATATTTCTTATTTTGCAAGAATGCGTTGCACCACCACCACCCCATAACTTAATTCTGTGACTATCTATTGGAGTTTCAACACCCGGTGCTTATATTAGTTCTGGATTTGTCATTAGGAGGAGTTTTGGTAAATGAAAGAATAAATATTAGACAAAAACTCATGATGAGAATGTTTATTAAGTTAATATTTTAACCTTTCTTCCAGCCTTTCTTACAATGTCAGTTAATTATTAATTGACCCCTGCAGAGCAGGAAACATCCATCCATCCATCCATCCATCCATCCATCCATCCATCCATCCATCCATCCATCCATCCATCCATCCATGCATTATCTTTTACCCACTTCTTCCTTTTTTGGTCATGGGGGGGTCATGTCCAGCAGTCACTGTTCGTGAGGCGGGGGACACCCTCGACAGGTCTCCAGTCCATCACAGGCATCACGCATGCACAGAGAGAACATTAACACTCCACCCAGAAAGATCCCCAGCTGGGATTCAATCTGGCAACCTTTTTGTTGAGAGGCGGCAGCTCTACCAACTGATCCACCGTGCCGCCCGAGCAAGAAACAAACCTCTATAATCTAAAGTGATTTCTTTTTTTCTTTGACCTCAGAAAGAAACTTCAGTAGGTTCCCTGAAATGTTTTTGTCCTCATGTTTTATGTTAGAGTATTTAATGTGTGAGTCACTTGTCTCCGAATGTTTAAACTTTATGGTTTTATTAGGACCACTTGAGCTGCATGGCTCACATATTTCTTGTGGGTTTGCTTACGATGCAGCTCAAATGTTTCTGTGTCGAGTTTCACTGACGGAGGTCTCTGAGGTCGGAGGTGACCTGCAGCTGGTCACTCTCTTCTGTGCAGATTTGAAGACAATTTATAATGCTAACCTCAAATTAATAAAGTTTCAGTTTATATTTTAACATTATTATTGTCTGAAAGTAGATTCAGCTTTCACACTGTTGTTTTCCTTATTTTTTGGTCTTTAAAATCTCTTTTTTTTTTGCAGACTTTGTGCTAATTTAGCTGTTCATATATCAAAACATTCAGATCATTCAGGTGATGGGTGCTGTGACTTGATTTTGTAACTTTTATACATTTCAAAATATGCAAGTTTATTTGCAATATTTCCCCATAGGAATACATTTAGAACTCTTTTATTCCTTCAATAACATTTTTCACTTTAAAATCTGTTGCACTACTGCTCTTTTTTTTTTTTTTACATTTTGCTACTTTTAGCTTTTAGACAAACATTTAGCTACTTTTAGCCAACCTTTTGCTACTTTAAATTTTAGCCAGCCTATTGCTACATTAGCTTTTAGCTAGCCTTTTGCTAC